AGATAAAAAAAAATCAGCGTCACGAATGGGATTCGAACCCACGACCTTCGGCTTGATACGCTACTCTTCCCCTTGAGCTATCCTGACTTCGTTCCCCTCGGGCACTAACTTCCCATGTCAACCGCACCTTTTTGAATTTTTTGAAATGGCAAAAAGGAGGGAAAATTCAAAAGGTGCGGTTGAGATGGGAAGTTAGTGCCCGAGGGGATCGAAGTCACGAGAGCTCAAGTGGTTAGAGTAGCGGCTTATTTAGCCGAAGGTCGTGGGTTCGAATCCCATTCGTGACGCTGATTTTTTTTTTATCTCAACTTAAAACCTTAATTAATTGAATTTTATTAATAACAAAGAAATTCTAAAAACCAAATATTTCTCAATAAACTAGGCCATAAAACATAAAATGAAGCTTTTTTTCAAATCTAATTTTAATCGAAATTAAATTATTATTAATCTTTATTTAAAGATTTAAAAAATATTATTTCGTGTTTTTATTTTATTGTTGGTTATGATAAAAAGAAAAATGTTCTAATTTGATATGAATTAAAAAGGTAAATCAACAAAATACAATACTGTTTTTTTTGCATATTTTAACGAACCTTTTTATAAGATGAAATTTTTTCAGTTTTTTAACTGTTTATATATATAATTTTACAAGAAAATATAATTTTACAGCATTTTATACGTAGATTTCAATAAAAATATAGTAAACGCTATCAATGTTTATCAATAATCAAAAAATTTCCGAAAGCCAAATATTTTTCAAGTAAACTAGGTCATAATTTTTTATTTATTTCGTGAATCTGTAGAGATCTCTAAATATAAATTTTTTGCTTGATTTAAACATCGGTTTTTGTCCTCTAAGATGATCTCAATAAAGATCGCCGAAACGTTGGCACGATAAAGAAAATGTTTTTCTGAAACCTTCATCACACCAGGCCGCATCTCACGATTTCGGAATAATTTGTTACAACCTTTTAACACGCAGTATTTTGTTGATTTATCTTTTTAAATCGTACCAAATTAGAATAGAATATGTGTCGTAGAACATTTTTGTTTTTATGTTAACCAACAGTGAAGTTAATACACCAAGAATAATGTTTTTTAGCCTCCAAATAATTGTTGATTTGAGCAAGTAGAACTGCAAAATAAAAATATTGAAACACGGAAAATTTCAACTTTCAAATTTTTTCGTAGAAAACAGAGCCTATTCGCAATAATTACACATACGCGTTTACATGTCCAATATTTTGAACTGTAGAATCCAAAAAAAAGGTGTTCCAAATCGTGACCCGCCAACCTGATCCTCCCTTTGTAAGTTACTTATCGACCATGGAAATATATATTATTGTCTAAATGTTCAATACCAACAATGAAATTAATTCGCCAATTTTTTTTTAAATTTCCAAATAACGATTTATGCTCCTTTAATTTAGCGTGTGGTGATTAGTGACTGCTGTCTATATTATACTGACAGTGCAGCACTCTCAACACGAAACGCAAGAATTACGCAGAGAACAAACAATTTGAGCTCTGAAGATGATCTCAATAAAGATCGAAACGTTGGCAAGATAAAGAAAATGTTTTTCTGAAACCTACATCACACCAGACCGCATCTCACGATTTCCGAATAATCATTTAATTAAATTTACTTTATACTTATAACTTTTACTATTATTTTAATTTATAAAATATAAATAAATAAATTCAACCAGAAATATATTTGGCCCCCCTGTTTCAAAATTAACGCATTTGAATTTTGTTGAAAATATGATGGCGAGTTTTGTTTATCAACGTCCATTATAATAAATTTAAAATAATGAATTAATAAAGGGTATATTCAAGAAAATGAACAAAATTTTAAAGTAACGGAGTCTTTGAAAGAATAAGAAATTATTAAATAATTATCTTTTCCAGTAATAACGTGTACTTTTTAAATAAAATTAAGGGAATTACTTCGTAATTAATCGAATTATCGGGTAAATGAAGTTTTTTCAAAATCTTATTATAATCGCAATTAAATGGGCATAAATCGTTATCTAGAGATTAATATTATTGTTGGTGTAGTAATATTATTATTGGTTAACATAATAAAAAAATCAGTGAATTTGATGTAAAGGTGATCGGCCAGCTGTTATTCAACAATAGGGGTATTCACAATCTTTGTGTTCACTCTGTTAAATTCTGTTAGATCGAGAAAAATGATGATGTAGAATTTTAAGAATCGGCTAGTTAACCATTGCTCGATCTAACAGGCCAGGGCCAATGTTAGCTGTTAGTTCGAAAATGTAGTCACATTGCTATCCGTTAGGGCGCAGGTAACCAAAATGGCAGCTGTTTTTTTGTTTACACGTATTTTTATTCTTAAATACGCATTAATTAAATCAGACCAATACCTTTCTTTTGTTAATTTCTGACCTTTACTTATACTCTCATTCATAATAGATATATCCCCATCATATTAAGTTGTCGGCTGTTAGACGTTAGGATACAAGTTAGGTATGTCGGTACGAATTGAGGAATCTCATTTGTTTTTTCGTGCATAAATAGCGTTTTGAAAAAAAAGTGTTGATTAATTTAATAAATGTCAGTAAAAACAAGCTAAAATTTTACTTCAACAAATACACTGACAGCAAAAAAAATTCAACCCACTAGTAATACAACTTGATTTATATATCCTGTATTCCTCGAACTATTCATACAATGCAGGAATGCGCTTTTGTACACCGAATCAGCGAGGATTGGCGGATCTGGTACCTAAATAAACTTATTAGGGGTATTCACGATCTTTGTGTTAACTCCTGTTAGATCGAGAAAAAATGACGTAAACTTGTAAGAATCGGCTAGTTAACAAAGCTCGATTTAACATGCCAGGGCCAATGTTTGATGTTAGGTCGAAAATGTAGTCATATTGCTATCCGTTAGGACGTAGGTAACCAACATGGCAACCATGAATTTAACAGCTGTTTTTTGTTCACACGTATTTTATTCTTAAACACGCATTAATTAAATCAGGGAAATAAATTTCTTTTGTTAATTTTCTGGCCTGTCCTTATACTCTCATTCATAATAGATACATCCCCTATTCTATAAAGTTGTCGACTGTTAGACGCTGTTGTTCCGCCAACGCGACGTTCCTATTAGCAGCTGATTTTTTTAATGGCGCTCAATTTGAACGTGCGAAACGCGAAAATTATAACACAAATAAATATTATATTAGTAAATACTTAATATTATTAAATTACTATAAAATTAATAACAATTAAAATAAATTAATTTCAAATTTCTCAAACTTTTTTGAAATTAAGTGGTGATAAATGCATTAATAATATAACAGATTTTGAACTACCTCCCATTTTAAATATGTACATTAATAATATCAAACATCCAAATAATTAAACTAATTATTTTAATTGTTATTATTTTTATAGTAATTAATAATATTAAGTATTTACTAATATAATATTTATTTGTGTTATAATTTCCTCGTTTCGCACGTTCAAATTTTGCGCCATTAAAAAAAATCAGCTGCTAATTGGAACGTCGCGTTGGCGGAGGTATCAGCGGGTTCACTTTGGCAATTCATGTCGAGAGACGTGGTTGTGGAAGCCCTTCAACCTGATGATGAGCTAAAAGGCTCGAAATCCGGGTCGTTGCAAAAAACTTACTGTGAGTAGGAACTATCTTTTTAAAAAGGATTGAACACCACACTCACTCCATCATTTATCATTTCTACCTGTTAGGTCGTGTTAGATCGAGAAAATGATGACGTAGCCTTGTAAGAATCGGCTAGTTAACGTTGCTCGATCTAACAGGCCAGAGCCAATGTTAGGTGTTAGGTCGAAAATGCTATCCGTTAGGGCGTACGTAACCAACATGGCAGCCATGAAATTAACAGCTGTTTTTTGTTACACGTATTTTTATTCTTGAATACGCATTAATTAGCAGACCAAAACATTTCTTTTGTTAATTTCTGACCTGTACCTATACTCTCATTGATAATAGATACACCCCCTATCCTATAAAGTTGTAGACTGTTAGAAGCTAGGATATAGGTTAGTATGTCGGCAAGAATTGAATTTGTTAGTACTTTTCGAGTGCATAGATGGCATTTTGTATGAAAGAGTTGATTAATTTAACTTTTTTATTTTTTGGCATCTTATTTAACAAAAAAGAAAATCAGAACAAACAACAACAAGCCATCAAGGACTGTTATAGCTTTATTTTTGGTTCTACCAATCGCCACGCGCAGCATTGCGGAAAAATTAACGTTTAACATGCTAAGAAAAGAAAGGGGCGTTCACGATCTTACTGGACATTTCTCTGTTCGAGTTAACATCTCACAAACAACGTAAATACCCCTAATATATTTGGTAGGATCGGGATTGTGGTCCAAATAATGTCAAAATTTGATTTTCACTCACACACATGAGCGTAGTTTCAAAACCAGAACGTTCTTTGGACATATCCAATCCAATTTTCGGGGTTGTAACGTTGTAAAACCCTTAGAAACCGACTTTCGCGGAAATCGGTGTAAATTAATTTTGTGACTGATAATTTCGACGACCTTTCTGTCTGTGACAATTCCGAGTGCAAACTCTTAACATCTCTATGTCTCGTATTGAGAACATAACTTTTCTCCTATGATTACGTCTTATGATATCACCATCAATTTAATAAAGTTTCGAGGTAATTTATCAACTGGAACAGGCAACTAACTCATAAAATTGATAAATGATAATTTTGCAGTATGGTAATTCGTATCGACGAATTGATAACGACGTATTGCTTTTATTGCGGCGTCCGTTCATTTGTGTAAAACAACGCGGTTCCCAATGACGGTGTCCAGTTTAATTTTTATACCTGAGCAAATTTGCGGTATATTCCCGTACGATTTTAAAGACGGATCGTACAGACTCAGCCTCTGGCGTTTTCTCTATTCTGTGTTTTTAACTGCTATTGTCTTCTATTTTGTTTTGGGATATTTCTATACGGACAGTTCCCAAATGTACCATTACATCAAAGATGCTGCCAGTTCCTTACAGCACATGAGTTTTTTGATATTCGCGATCGTAAAACACGATGAGGTGAATGTTGTCGTCAAAACCATTTACACGGTCAACGCCCGTCTTCGTACACACGTTACGCCGAAGTTCTCATCGAAATTAATAGGGGTGTACATTTCCAGTGTAATTTTGTTTATCAAGGTTTTATCTTTGTGTTTAATATTACCTGCAATTGACATTGTGTATATGTCAATCGTCTGCTTGTCTGACTTGAGCTTGTTGTCGTTTGTGCTGGCGTCCGTCTCGTTGCTTCAAGCCCTCATATCGCTGATGAGACGAGTTAAAGTGGGTACGGAGTGGGTTTTGAAACGTCGGGATTTTCGAAACGGTTTTCGCCTAAAGGATTTGGCTGAGTTAAGGCTAGCACTTTGCACTGCTGCCGATGCATTCGCGTCGTACCTCGCGCCCAACGCCCTTCTTCTCACCGCGTTGACACTGGCGAAAATGACCATAAGAGCAAAATTGGTTATAGATCATTTTTCGAGTGTCAATGTAAATCAATATGCCTTACTCTTCGAGTGTTCAGTAATGACTTTCAATTTTGTTCTTCTGATAACTGTGATCAACGCAACCGAAGCCATCAAAAATGAGGTAATTTTTAAATGATGAGAAAAGTCCTAGCTGAAAATAAGAAAAATCTTGGGTGTTTTTTTATGATAGTTGTTAAAGTTCGTGGTTCCTAACGAGAGAAAAAATGTAAACGATAAAAATTGACGATCCGGTAATAATTGTATGGATTTTATACCGGCATTGCCGTGACAAAGTTGGATCATCATTCATCGGTAATGCACAGTCACGTCCCTTTCTCGCGTTGTTTCAGGACTTTCCAGTTATTGGGGGTGTTCCCTTTGAGGGTGGTTGGGAACGCTTTGGTCCCAAACTCATCCCTGCTTTTCCTGACCTTGGTGTACATCTCGGTCTGCCTTCTTTTCCGCTACCTGGTCAGTAGCGGGGATTTCAGCGCGACACATACTTTCGATTCCGCTTCTACTTGGTTGCAATTTTCCATAAACACGGCCAGCTCTTTGGTGTATCCCATCAGCGTTTTGGTCATGAAGGATCGATTGAATTATTTTTACAGGGCTTTCAACGCTGTGAATTTTTCTTTGAAAACGGATGTTACGGAAATCGATTACTTCTTAAAGGCTACTTTATTCAAAGTTTCCTTTATTTTCTCTCTATTCGGCCTAGGATTAGGAATGTGGAATATTTTATTCGAAAATTATCAAGAAGGATTCGAAATGATAAACGTCATATGCCTGTTCACCACTAAAAACATCGGGCTTTACCAGATAGTCTGTATTTACCGTTTGACCAGTCGATTTGTGACAGTTTTAATACTCAATTTGAAAATAGAAAAAAGCCGGATTTCGAAAAAAAGTCGTAAAAGGGTAAACCTGCAATCTTTCTGTCTGGAATTTGTGATAAATGCTTGCCAAATGTTAAACGATGTCTTTTCACCTTATTTATTACTCTATTGCATTTCGGTTCTGTTCGACATAATGAGCCTGAGCGTCAAAGTACTCACCAATCCTGCGAAGGGTGTGACTATGTCGTCTATGTCCATGATATTTAACATAATCGCACAGTGTTGTACCTTGCTACAGCTAGTAAAATCCAGCACGGAAGTGACGCAAAAGGTCCATTTTCCGTTCACCTTTTACTCCAATCACGCTTCATTTTTCTTTTCCAGGTGAAAGATTTCAACACTTTGCTCTTCCAGATGATGATCGACGATAAATCAGCCGAACTGTCAAATAATGTACGGTTTGTTTTTCGATGTTTTTGGATCAATGAGGTAATTGAGTTTTCATTTTAGGAGACATTGAAACTGCACATATCTTTGAACCGCGAAGTGGTTTTCACCGCTTGCGGGCTTTTCCCATTGGACTACACCCTCATCCATTCTGTAAGTATAATTTGACTCAAAACAACATTGATGAATATTCTCTATTGTCTCATGCACAGATGGTAGCAGCTGCGACGACTTATTTGGTCATCCTGATCCAATTCAGCAGCGCAGACCCAGAGATAAATCCATTTATTAATGGAACGCTGTCTACTTCTACTAACGACACATTGAATACAATTCATTAATTATGAAGCAAATAAAATATTAATTATTTATGTCCTATTGTGTTTTTGCTACCATACGACCTGAGGGCAATGAAAACAGAGAGGGAGGGGAGAAAGAGAGGAGAGAGGGAAAGAAAGAGAAAGAGTTTGAAGAGTTGTGAGACATTGAGAGATAGAGATAGATAGATAAATAAATAGATAGATAAAGAGAGAGAGAGAGAGAGTGAGAGAGAGAGAGTTAGATAGAGAGAGAGAGAGAGAGAGAGAGAGAGAGAGAGAGAGAGNTATATAATTTTTAATTTTTAATTTTTATTGTATTTTTAGTTGTAATCTTTAATTATTAATTTATTCAATTTAAATAATGTTTAGATACTGAGCGCCAAAAAACATAATGTACTTCTGTGCCCAAAACACCATGTCGTTTATTTCCCCATTAAGGTTTAAGTAAGATATTTCAATTTTTGTGCAATTTGTTGTTTTTTCATGTTTTAATTGCTTTTATATGATAATAAAACAGGCCCTGAAGATGACAATATAAAACTGTCGAAAGCTCGGCGAAAACCGAAAGGAAATTTTCTCTGTGTTTGACATCTTCCGTAGATCCTCCGAAAAGTTGTGAGATGTTTAGAGAGGAGAGAAGGGAAGAAAGAGAAAGAGATTGAAGAGTTGTGAGATGCTGAGTGAGAGAGAGAGAGAGAGAGAGAGAGAGAGAGAGAGAGAGATGCATGTTTTTCCCTTAATGGAATTTTTGATAAATTGGTACTCTTCCAGGAGAGTCGAAATCTAGGCAGAACACAAACCTACTCAAAAAAAGCCTATCCAGCAACCCATTTCAACAACCCTCAAATTGATTCTGACCTTCAAGTTCAAAAAACATTATTCTACCCCAGACGAAGTTTTGTGAGTGAACTACTCTCCACCGAGATGTTGGTTCTGTTTAATTCCTGTCGACAAGTTCGATTTCTAAGTGTTTAACACCAAACTAGACGAACCTATAGCCCAGTCTCAAAGTCATCAAGTTTTATATAACAGAAGGTTGTGTAAAAGGTGTTGTTTGTATTTCTTCCTTTATAAAAATGCATTATTTTCGATTTCGCAAATTTGACTTACAATCAGAAGGAAATATTAGGGGTATTCACGTTCTTTGTGTAAACCCTGTTAACTCTGTTAGGTGATGACGACGACCCTCCTCCAAGTCAGATCCTAAGACGGCCACCTATAGACATTTCTCATTTTGGTAAAATTTGACTTATCCAGTTTTCCAGAAGAGCAGCAGACTATTGAGGCCGAAGCTATAATTTCGAAATTTGTAAATGTACGTTTATAATTGTTAACAGTTTAAAACATTAGAAATAGTTTTAAAGTACTGATGAAGAGCAGATATTATTCGAAAGCCTGACGAAGGAGATAAGGTTCTTTCTTTCGCTTTACACCTGACGATATATGGTAGGGGTATTCATGATCTTTGTGTTAATCCTGTTCATTCTATTAGGTCCAGTTAGATCGAGAAAAATGATGACGTAGACTTGTAAAAATCGGCTAGTTAACATTGCTCGATCTAACAGGCCAGGGCTAATGTTAGGTGTTAGATCGAGAAAAATGATGACGTAGACTTGTAAAAATCGGCTAGTTAACATTGCTCGATCAAACAGGTCAGAGCCAATGTTAGATGTTAGGTCGAATATGTAGTCAAATTGCTATCCGTTAGGGCGTAGGTAACCAAAATGGCAGCCATGAATTTAACAGCTGTTTTTTGTTTAGACGTATTTTTATTCTTAAATACCTATTAATTAAATCAGATAAATACATTTCTTTTGTTAATTTCCGACCTGGCCTTATACTCTCCATTCATAATATATACATCACCTAACCTATAAAGTTGTAGGCTGTTGGAGGTTAGGATGCAAGTTAGGTATGTCGGCACGAATTGAAGCGTGTCATTTGTTAGTACTTTTCGAGTTAGTAGATAGCATTTTGAAAGAAAGATTTGATTAATTTTCCTTTTTTATTAACTTCTGGCATCTTACAGTTTAACACAAAAGAAAACCAAAACAAACAACAACAAGCCTTCAAGGACTGTTATAGCTTTATTTTTGGTTCTACTATTCGCCGCGCGCAGCATTGCGGAAAAATTAACGTTTAACATGATAAGAAAAGAAGGGGGCGTTCACGAACTTAATGGATATTTCTCTATTCGAGTTAACACTAGGTAATATTTTACAAACATCGTGAATACTCCTAATGTTTCAAGGCCTAGATGTTTTTGTTAAATCGTAGTTTATCAGGAATAAACGTATCATCTATCTATTGGTTGTAGTACCAAAAAGCTCTTCTTTTTTTTTTAAAGCAGTTCCCTGAAATGACCTTTATTAATTTTTGTTTTATTTTCGAAGCATTTTGTTCGAAGCGGCATTAATTTAGCTCCAGGCTACACTTAGGCCCAGAGAGAAAGAAATAAGGGTATTCACGACTCAAGTACTGTGGAAGTGGGATCGCGCCGCTGGGATCTCATCCCTCACACCTCCGCTTCTCACGTAGAGCCATTACATGTCATTGCCGAAACATTTTAATTCCGGGTCTCGTACGTAATTGCAGCAGGGGTTTTGTCACGTCCATACCCTCGGCACCTTTGGTCCGGGTTGCAACCGTAACAAGCCTGGCCGGAGGCCGGTTCCGATGGATCGGACAGGAAAACGTAATAAATTTATACTATCAGGTCAGATAGTCACAAAGGGCAATTATCATTTAGTGATTTTCGGTTTCTCGGAAAATTTAACATAAGCTAATTAGCAAATACTGGTAGTTTTTATCCTCAGGTAAGCTTAGTTGCCAATACCTATAAAAAGTAGCTTGTTTATCATATTTCCAGCTTACATACCCATCAGATATTGGAATTTTATAAGTAACCTCACGTGGTGTTGAAATATTACAATTGGGTCAAAACTACAACCTATTTTCTCGGTAGACATTGTTCTTCCGAGTTCATAAATTATGGAGCCGTTTGGATTAAATTTGTGCCCTTTCGGGCCACCCTCGACCCCAATCGACATGAAAGTTTTCAAGGGGCCGCCCCGGACGTACTTTATAAGCCGCGGCCCCTTATACATTTTTAAATCGGCCGAGGTCACAATGAAACTTGCAGCCACCCCTCACGCCTCTGGGCCGGAGTCCATGACTTGGAATCGGCTCATTCGACGTCCGCTGGCCTATTCATAAAAGCGTGGAAATCGATTCTTTACTTATTCACCGGATTCGGCCGACCCGGGAGGAATTTGAGAAATCGCCTTGGGAAGGTCTTGAGGTAGTCATTGCATTCCACGCGATAGGATTTTTCAAGAAGAGCAGTAATTTCAACGAAACGATAGACTTCAATTTCTTTTTACCACAAACTGATAAACTGATAACTTTGATTTCTTTTATAATTTGCATTTTGTACTTAGTAGGTTTCCCATACCTTTATGAATAATTCTAATGCATATTCAGGTATATGATTATATATGTAATTTCTTCATTTTTTCGAAATCGAATTTTCCATGTTCCATATGATACCACCAATGGATTTCATATTTCAACACACATCAAAAGACAAAAAGTACATACAAAATTAATGTGTGCTGTTTAGTGACCGTTAGTTAATGATTATTTGGAGATTGTGAGATGCGATCTGGTGTGATGTAGGTTTCAGAAAAACATTTTGTTAATCGTGCCAACGTTTCGATCTTTATTGATATCATCTTCAGGGCCTAGGATTTACAAAAATGTACAAAAAAGATATTTTGTATTGTATAAATTCACTTTTTTCCACATCCTACATGTATTTGTTAAATTTAAACTATGTTTGTAAATCCCAGGCACTGAAAATGATCTCAATTTGCCGGACAGTTTAAAGAGTTGATCTTGTAGATTCGTCAGGTTTATTTGTTATTGGTGTGGGATCTTTAATTTTGGAAAAAAGTGTTTGAATTGTTTTATAATTTTTGAAAGCTATTTTTAAGCGAGTGAGTAGAAATACTTTGATTGAATATATGAAATATATTTTGCATTGTATAAATTCACTTTTCCACATCCAAAATGTAATTGTAATATGTAAACAATGTTTGTAAATCCCAGGCCCTGAAGATGATCTCAATAAAGATCGAAACGTTGGCACGATAAAGAAAATGTTTTTCTGAAACCTACATCACACCAGACCGCATCTCACGATTTCTAAATAAATATCGATTAACGGTCACTAATCACCACACACTTAAATAGAACAATGATAATGTAATGTACACTAGTAATAAATAATAAATATATAAGTGTTAATAACTAATAAATAGCAAATTTAGTAATAAATAATCTTAACACAATAGTACATAATTCAGTCTAGTATAGTAGTATAGCATAACACACACACACACACACACACACACACTCTCTCTCTCTCTCTCTCACACACACACACACACACACACACACACACATATATATATATATATATATATATATAACTCGAGGATATTGTATTTACATTTTTATCTATTATTTTTGTCAGGAACTCTTATTTTAATATAGATTTCATTTTTACATATGGTAGTAGTAAATTGTACGGTTGTTGTTATTATAATTATTGATTGCTTTTACTACAAAAGTTCAGTTGTTTTCTAAAGTCCAGTACGAACTTTACTAGAAAAGATGCATTGTAGCAGTTCTAATTTTAGGCAATATAAATTTACGTTTATCATATCTAGTATTTTTGTCATGGATAGGCTTATACAATTTAAAGTTATTTATCAGATATGATGGTTTTTGTCTTTTTAATAATTTTATTAAGAACATCGAGAGTATTAGCGCTCTTCTTTCTTTAATTTTTAAAATTTTTGCTTTGGTATAATATAGTGTGATATGATCAAGGTATTCGATATTATAAGCATATTTTATACAAGCAATTCGTGCTTTTTTGAGTTTTTCTAAATTTTTTACTCATATTAGAATAGCATATGGAAGCACAATCAGAGATTGGGAACAACATAGATTTT